TAAAAAACGAAGAGAGCAAAATTAGGAGATACTAGTCCTGCGGAACAAGAAGCATTTCGAGTAACTTTCAATTTGAAAATCGGAGTCCACGCTTAAGAACTCTTCAGTTTAGAAGTTGGATGTCCTTACAAGATGTCCTCAAACCCTCGAGTTAGGAATTTATTTCGGTTCACTAAGGTGCCCGAGTTTAATAAATTCAATGTCTGAGAAAAAGAAAGCTTAATGCAACCAATACTAGGGTTTTGTTTCAGCTAGCATTGTCAAAATTTGATGGGGCAGTTATAAACTGTAAGAAGTGAGATATGAGAGAGTAATATTTCCTAAAGATAGTCATTTGTTGTGAAAACTAAAATGTATTGCCAAGTTATTTTCATTATCTGATATTAGTAACACAATTTCATCTTCAAAGAGTGAGAACTATTTTCAATTTGTCCCTTAAATCATAACACTAGCCAATAACGATAAAAGTATTATATGAAATTAATAGGAGATGATAGATGATCTCAGAAAACTGTAAATTACTTTGAACAAAACAAATACTATGTTAGAAAACTTTATGCAACCGACCTGTATATTGAAACCGTTATTTTCCAGCTACTAATTGTTATTCACTAAGACATATTACGCATGTTACACTTTGCCTTGCTTTATTTCTGACCAGGGAGGTACGTGCTCTCAAACGCTTAGAACAGCACGAAAGTGTGCTCACAGCATACATCGCTCATCCTCAAGCCAGTTGTAGTGGTCACTCTGATGCAAAACAGCACATCTCACCATGAGACATTAAATTAATATATTTAAGGTATAAGGGAAGAATATTGTTAACTTAAAGAAATATAATATCGATGTAGTTGGTCCAAAAGCACACTTTTCAATGTTGTAGCTGTATATTGTTACGTTCCGCTCTGCTTACAATAATCACGATATCTGAACCGAAACTTTACTATTCATTCGATAGTATTGCACATATACTCAGTCCTCAAAATGCAGTTTGTGGGATTGCAATGAAGTGATCATAGCAAAGTGGAACCGAACAATTGCAATTCTTGACATTGTGGGTGGGGATGGTACCTTAACACTTGCAATGGGAGGCCCCTGTTGCTCTGGAGATGAAAAGCTTGTATTGCTGGAAGAGCCAACTTCAGAGAGGGAATCTTTCTTTCCTTCAAAATCACTTTATCCATCATATATTTATGCATTTTTGTGTAATCCTCAACGTAAATTATTAGGCTATATAACATGTTTTCTAACTCCAAATCCTCTAATCCGATTCCATATGGAGCTCCTCCCAACATTTCCTCTAACATTTTGTCAACATCCATGAGATTAATTCCATCCATTTGCCATCATTCAATGAGATTAACCTCACGATGCCTATGTACACCGTTCACACTCTAACCCACAAACAAACATTCCAAAAGATGAACTTTTAATGCATTTATACTCGACACACATTCAGATTAAGTACGTTTTAGTGCACGTACAACACGCCACCGTCAAATATAATCTACTTACAGATGGGTTTGACATGGAACTGCCTCATCACAGTTTTCGGGATGAGTGGCTTACATTTTAAGCACATTTTCACCCTGTTAGGCTCTCGGTGTTCACGCTCATCCATGAGTGATTCTTACCTACCGTAATAATAGCACAGTTTATTTGATAACATTATTTTATTGACTTCATTTTGTACATATTTTAGTTTCATTGACAGATGAACAAATTGTCGTTTTGCAGTTTGAAACTGAGCAAAATAGTTTTTAAAATTATCTCTTTATGCAATATTGCATTTTGTAATATTTAATTTCATGTTTCTTTGAAGACACATTTTTAAGAGGCTATGTCGTTTTCATTTCATTAAAACATCGCCTAAGATCAAATTTCAATATTAGTTCAGTTCTGAAAATAAGAGTTAGTCGGGTTTTAGATTTTGACTCGTTGGTATAACACCCAAATATGCTATTAAAATAAATTACGCATTATCTCATTCCTTAGTTTCATTTCCATTATCCTTATGCCCTTTTTTCAGTTAAGACTTTTGGTGGATAAAATTTAATTTATGGAAGTAACTCATTCAATAATCCTGTACTAGCGTAGAGTTTTATTCTCACTTACATTTTCCATGTATCTCACATTATTTCCCTACAGAAAATGGCAAATTTTCTTTCTTGTAGAATGTGATAAACTAGTAAGTTCCAAGTTTAATAAATTTTTGAGTAAGAGATTGTAGCTTAGACTCTAGAATTGAAGAGTCACAGAATCATGTTAACGACACTTGAAATTACGCTGGTATAATAAAGTAAGGTTTACCAAGGCCTACTTCAATGAAATAATTAATTTTGCTAATTTTCCGTATTTTTCAATTTCCCTTTTATCCTCTCAGAAAATTATTCATAAACTTTTCATCAACGTCACGTCAGTATTTTTCTAATATTGAAAATTACACTGCATGTCAATATTAGTAATAATAGTTATTTATGCACCAAGGGAGTTATTAGGGTTCTAATGATCTCGGGCTACAAAGAGCCCCCCGGGCCAAAGGTCTTCGAACAGTTTATCGCCGCTCTATCAGAACCCGTTAACACCTATAGTACATAGAAAATTTTATTTTTTACCTATTTTTATTGATTCGTATTTACTTATTTACTAATAAACTAGATGTAAACTTGACAGGGTTTGTCTTTTCACATTTCCCTCCCATAATGTCCTCCATAAGATAACATATACCATAATTCAACTCTTTTAATAGTTGTAACCAGGATCCTCTCCATCCAGGGAAGTTATGTAGTGTACATCGAGCTCGGTATCGAAGGCAATAACAAGCTACAACTTATCAGTAAGAAATAAATATATTTGATGCGATGAGAGAGTATTCAGTTCCTTACAAAATTCTACTATTTTCAGTGAAGTTAAAGAAGTATAACATCTCAGATTAGTTCACCATGTTGTAAGATGGATTCTGAGAAAAATCCATTGTTAGTGAAAGTTGGTTGATGGTCATCCTGTCGTAAATTCGGGATTTTAGAGATATATTGTAAAGATGCAATTATGTCCAGATTTACTTATCTAAAACGCTTTTCTTTCCGGATCTTGGAACCTCACGCGGGCCTCTTCAACAAATGTACTCTTTTGTGTTTCTGGAATACTTTCTTGTCCATTTTTAAAACCTATACGTCTTTATTTAGCTTTAAACTTATCTCTTCACCCGTATGTTGTTTTACTACTCGTGCTAGTACTAAAACAAGAATATTGAATGTATTATCTGAATCTCATTCCATCCTGTTTGCTACTTCATGTTGCAATTATTAGTTTTGGGAATCAACTAAATAAAAGCATGGTCTTTATTATTTAAATAATTTAAATTTTTACAGGTAATTTAAGTCAGTTAATCATCAAGTAATTTAATAACTTGTATATTAGTGGCGGCCACCAGGATTTTCGTTTCCCTTGAAAATTACGGATTGCTATTCTGTTAGATTGAGAATTGAGATCTATTTTCCTTACATAAGTAAAGTCACCCTGAAGATGCCCTTGGAGTTTGAGGAAGCAAGTCTCGAGAATCATTAGACGCTGGCTCTTGGAGGAGGTAATGTAAGCATCACGCAACGACCTCTTGACTTCTAAGAGGCAGCTAAGTACAATGAATAGCAGATTGATGGGGTGTGAAAAATAATGTGAGAGACGGAAGACATGAAATTAAGGAATGAGAATATATCCTAAACTCACACACTTTATAGAAGGAATTATTTCTGATAGCTACCATGTTCTTTTGTCGTATTTCTTCTAATATATCCACTTCTTGTTTAATTTTATAGAAATAAAAATTAACTTTAGCCTTATAATGGTGTCTGATAGTAATAAAGAGTGGAGGTCTTGTTTGCTCCGAAAATATCATATTGCTTTCAAAGTAAGTTGAAACAATTGTCGCTACATAACAAGAAGTCAGACTACTTTTAGCAGTTTTATACTCGTTACAGGAAACTACGAAAGAAGGTTATCTTTTGTGTTATTTCCGCCAAGATGTGGTGAAAGAACCGGTTTTTGTGAAGAAAAAAAGAAAAATGACCTTTCAGTTATAGAGAAATGGAAGCTAATGCATCTTACTAAAAGACTCTTTAAGTATAAAAATTGCATCGTCCTTTTCAGAAAAGGTGAAAAAGAGGATGTAACTAATAATATTAGTTACTTTGAACTGAAGAAATACGCTAAAAGTAAAAATAAAATTATTCAAAATTTGTCTCGCAACTCGTTGTACTTCAAGATTCATTGAAATGCATATTTGGATTCGGTGTATATTAACCAAATATGTTTTCCGAAGTTACTTTCAGCAAAAGCTGAAAACTAAGGGCTCTGGCGGAACCGTCTTTGAGGCGGAGGCAAATGCAGAGACTTTTTCCATCAAAGGCTGCTCTTGATCAGAAACTTATTGTGACCTACAAACCATGGGGCCATCCTGAAATTAGTTATCTCATGGACAGGGGGGGCATGATTTGCCAATTATTAAAGAAAAATAATTTTTGAATTTAAGCATTGGGGCCAATAATGGTCTATACTACTAATTATGCATTTTACAGGACTTGCAGAAACGCGTCACGTTACTTCATCTCTTGAATTTTACTAGGAGACTGGTAATACTCCTATAGGACTTTATCTCATAAATTGTTTTGTTTGTTATCGTATGCTATACGAACACAGTAAGGTTACAAGACTACATTACTATTATTCAACGAAAAATATGATTTGCAAATATTCTAACATAGACCGTTATTCGGCCCAACGGTTCAATTGTTTATATTCCCTCGGAGTGCCTAATGTGTGTTCTAGAACCACACCGCCCCCCTCTAGTCTGAGGCTCCCTTCACACAGTAGCGCTGCCCTGAAGCGCCTAGACCTTTCGCCCTAGGCCTTCCGCCCTATCCTTTCTGCCCTAGGCTTTCCCCCGCAGGTCTTCCGCCCTAGCTCTTCCCCCTAGGCCTCGCCCGGCGCCCGCGTGCGTTCGTTCATACGCTTGCCGCGGGGGGCGCAAGGGTGCTGGGGTCGGCTGCAGCGGAGGCGGCGGCGGCGGCGGCGGTGGGCGGCGCAGGAGGGGCGTTGGAGGTGGAGGTGGAGGCGGTGGCGCCGCTCGCCGCCATCTTGGAGGCGGCCACTCGCTGGATGACCGCCGGGTTGAACTTGTAGACCAGCTTGCGCGGCAGGTTCGGGGCGCGGGGCACCGGCTGCAGCACTTTGCTTCGGTAGTACGTCCTGCACACAGAGGCAAAGTTCACTCAGATCAATAATTGTGGGTAAGCACGTACGCACTCGAGAATTGTTTCATTTGGTTATCGGTCGTCTCATCGCAGTATTTATCGTGCTTCCCAAATCAATCCTCTCCTTCCACAGAAAGATTTCATCTAGATATTCAAAAAGATTACATCTACATATTTTTTAATTATTTTATTTATCCTTTTTAATATATTAGGTAACAATATGAATAAGTTTGTATTAAATTTGGAATTTTGTGAACTAAATTAAATTGTCATTGGTCTCAACCTGAAGTCCAAGATACATACGTTTCCCCCAAGTTTCTTTACTCAAGAAAATATTAATAAATTCATCATAACAATCAATATTATATAATACAAACCCATTTTCAATCAAGAAAATGCTTGAAGAAATTTGATAAACAGAGAATATTTAAAATTATTCAGGTAATAAAGAACCACGCAAGAAATATCAAAAAATTAATTTAAATTTCCAGTGGAAAGTCGACCCAATGTTATTGATCAAATTCGAGAACACTATTAAGTTTCAGAATTTTGTTATATTTCATTCAATATTTGTTTATCTTCCAAAAATCATTTTAAACGCACAAGTATTTAAAGCACACACAAAATTTTTTATACTTAGTTATCACAATTTTCGTCAATGTTTGAATCGGTTCCCGAATGTGAAGGTAGACATATTCTTAGCCACAAACACTGAATAACACTTTTATGTAGTGCACATATTAAAATGTAGTCAGAGTTTGTAACCTAACAATAGAATTAATTTTTCGAACATTTCGAGAGAATGTAACTGAGATCTGGAAATGTAATGATCTAAGTGTATTTTCTTTTTGCGTGCACCATTTTAGTAGGAAAGTGAGCCTCATTCGTTCTTAATGTTGTTAGAATTCCTAAAACAAACATTGTAAATACCTAGTAGATATTCTGACGTTCAGAAGCAGTACTCATGGTGAGGAGAAAAGTTCAATTTCTTACATGTTTACACTTTTTTATTGTTTTTTTCTCATATCACTCTCACTTTCTCATATCCTTTTCGAAGAAGGTGTAAATTTGTAATTTACAGTACAAACAAAAAGTGGATTTTTCTTGTTTTCCATATGTAGGTAATTACTTTCTCAAATACTTCGTATTTCGTATCCAGAAAAAGGTGTTCTCTCATGTGTCTGTGCACAAAACTACCGTCTAAATTGTTCCTCCAATTTGAAAAGGATATTTTAATTTTGGGGGTACTTTCATGAAGTCCTTATGGTATTAACAGAATTTTCTCTAAAATGAATAAATTTTTTTTTTTAAATTGTATTTCTTGAATAGAGCAAATCACGTTTGCAAAGAAGGGTTGAGATCTAATTTTTAGTAAAACCTCTGAGCTCTTGAAAACTGCAAAATAGACATGTTTTTTTGGCGTCCTCCATCTACATTATTGTTTTGTACAATTTTGTTAAAAACAGTAGTTTTTGTATAATTTTGAGTGAAACCGCGACAAATAAAAAGATTTAAACAAGATTTTTTCAAGAAATCGTGCTTGTTACATAAATTGAAGATGATACACAACTAGTGAATTAAAATTCACACACTATATAGTACAAATTCGTAGGATATCTTGCATATTCCAATATATTGAAATAATTTGAAATCATGTGAGTATAAGCTATTTTCAAGAATATTTTAATGGTGTATGAATATTATTTACTAATACATACTCACAGAGTCCAACGCATTACTAAAATAATACAATATTATGGCAAGATAAGCTATTTTGTCTAGCAATAGTATATTATAAGCTATAGAATATTTTTGTTAAGAATGTTAGTATATATGTATTATTTAATATTGTTTCTGGAATATGAGAGGTATTTTGCATTTTTAGCTATTATAATTCAAATTCCACGATAATGACCAACCGGGAAATTATAAATCTTAATATATAAGAGTAGATGTAAGTGTGTTTGTGGGGGTAATGTTTCACAGATTCTTCTGAAACATTGAAGCGATTGGCCCCTCCATTTTGAAAATCTTTTTGAGCAGCCGAAAATATAATGGTTTTGCGACGTCAGAATGTAACTCCAAATTAGTTTAACCAGAAGTGTTTTTATTAAAAACTCCTTACGTGGGGCAATGATGCCGAATGACATCATTGTTCCTCGACGTTCCCGGGCGGAGTGGGCGAATTATGGGGCCGCAGGGAGCAATAATGAACATAATTTCATTCAACCTACTCGAGCTATGGCGCTGTGTCAACACTAAAGGAGAGGAGAAGAAAGAAAAATACAGGAAGAAGAAGAAGGAGAAGAAGAAGAAGGAGAAGAAGGAGAAGAAGAAAAGAAGAAGAAGGAGGAGGAGAATAAGAAAGAATAGAAAATGTTAGGCTGAAGAAACACTAGAAAAAAAGTCTTGGAATAAAGATTGAACAAAAATATATTTTTCATTTTAAACAAATAATTTTCAATCTGAGAACAGAAATATGTAGCTGGAAGAAAAATTAAACAAAACGAAATACCAATTAGAAACCGTGTGTAGCGAACAGGAGTAACTTGTACCAAATATATTTCACGTCGTAAACCTTTAAAAAAGTAATGCTAATTCAAATGAAAACGTTGGTCAAATCAGAGAAGCCGATATCCGCGCAGGGGAGGCACTAGGAGAAACAACCGTTCTCACTTTGAAACGTGACACAAGGAAATTGCAGCGATCAGAAATTATGAATGCAAGAAAAACGAGATATGTTAGTTTAGCTAGCGTTTGATAAAATTTAATTCCACTATCGCAATTCAGTCTATAAATAATTATTACTCGTACGTATGAATACAGTGAGTTCTTTATTATCCTTCTGATAAAAGTATCCTCTTTATCTGAATATCTTAGAGTTTTACTTATCGTCTCACGTATGTTTATGTTCATTTCTTTCTCTTCTCTGCGATGAAGACTTTCCTTCTATTTAAGGAAAAGCTGTAGGTTCGAATAAAGTTACTTGAGTCGCCCACAAGCAATGTCACGATAATACTTCTCAACTCAAGAGTGTATTGATCTGATTATGTGCCTCACATTTGAATGGATTTAACACGATGAAAGAAAGGTGAAGTTTCTTTGATCACGATCCTTGAAATCAAGTGTCAGAGTCAAAATCAAATTGTCAGAGCCACCCACAGCGATAGGGCATATGCACTTGCGGGCCAAAAAGGGCGTTAGCAAGAAACTACAGATAGCTGATAAGTAGATTTCGTGGGTAATTATGGAGAAATAAAGAATAATTTCGGGGCTGATCGTTTGCGTTTGTCTTCCTCTCACAAACACAACAAGTGAAAACAAAACAAGTTTTATTTGCACGGTATTTGAACTAAGAGAATACAACCTTAGCAAAGAACGATTGCTAATGCTGCACATGTCTGCACCACTCATTCCTCTGTCTTTAATAGGGATCAGTGTGCCCATCACAATTTATTTCTCTAAGTTCTGTGAAACACCAAATGCTATACAAGCATCAAAAATATTTTACGTCTGTTCCAAGTGCACCTGAATACAGTGTCCATATATAACAAATTCCATGAACGTGCCCGGAAGGAGATGAATTAATGGCGCTGCTGGACGAAAAAATTTGACAATGTCTATTGTAAAAGCTATTTTTTTCTTAGGTAACACACAACGCCAATCGCACTCATGATGAGGTGTAAAATATGCATTAGAAAAGAAATAGTGTAATGAATAAAAATAGAATTGTATAGTTTCATAAAGATAGGGATTGAAAATAGATTTGCGAAATAGAAAAAAAAAAAGATTGCAGAGAACGAGCTGCCGAAGAGAAACCCAGTCATAATTTAGATTTTTTTGGTGCTTCTATAGCGTTTGGTGTCTTAGAACGTAGCAAAATAAATTGTGATGAATGATGATGAGTATGAAGACTCCTAGAATTTACTAACATCAAATAATCAATTGTTTTGGAATTTTTCAGGAATTGGTTCATAAATCAGCCTCGAAATCATAGTAGTTCACGAACGTAAGTTGGGTAGAGGTTCCTGAGAGCCATGTAGTATTAGTGCATTACTGTAATAGATTTCAAAAGTAATAGAAAGCCCTCATGAGAGAACAATATAGTTCAGAGACGTCGGCAACCTGAATTAATTTAGTTACTGATCAACTACTCTTGAAAAAATAGTATGAAGAATTTTCACAGTCCATACAAAAGTTAAAAGAGGCATAGTCGGCGCTTTGAGTAGTTCTACGTGACCACTGATAACCACTGATCTCCAGCATCTTATAAGTACCATCGACGAAAAATATTTGTCTAGGCATAATTGGCATGTGAGTCGAGAGTGAGACGTTGACACATTGTTGAGTAAGAGTAAAAATTTTATTCCATTATTACCATTAGCAGACATGGAGATCTTCCTTTTAAAGAGTTCCCTTAACGAAGAAATTATAATAAACAATTATAATTCCCCTTACTTAACTGGTGTGAAAATTAATTTTGTGGTGGATTAGTACTTAAGTTAGCAATTATCCTTACCATAATAAGAAATTTAAATTTACCAAAAAGAAGCTTCCCTTCAATATTAATAACGTAGGTGTTCATCAACACCATTCACTCTAAAGCTGAAATAATTTTAAAAAGTTAATAATCACTTTGTAAAATCATAAAAGAAAGGAAAGTAGACTTGCTCTAATTATATTTCCTTAATTTTTGTAATGAGAACATTACTTGAGCACTTCATTTAAAATTAAGTTGACTGAAACATAGAGACAGAAAATTGAAAATGAATACAGGTATTTTTGTTACCAGTTCGTTTAAATTTCACTCTCTAGGGTAATTCGTCAGTTTTTGGTCAATGGTACTTCATCCACTTTGTTTCATCAAGAAGAGGATCTACCTACAACGATAGAAATGACCAATGCCACCATGGAGTACAAGGAAGAATTCACTGAGTGTCCATCAAAATAGGACGCATGAATGAGGGCAGGAAGGCAAAGGGAAATTATTGGTAAGTACGGTACTATTTTCTTCATATTAAAATAGGACATTTCATATTCAAAAAGATAATAACGTATGTGTTTGTAAAATATTAATATATAAGAATTATTTATTGATTGAATTGCGATTGTGGAATTAAATTTTATCCTACGTTAGCTGAACTATCTTGTGTTCTTTTCGTTCATAATTTCAGATGGCATGCAATTTCCATATTATGATTTTTATGACTTGTGTAAACTGACTATAACAAACCCTACTCTGCTGATGGGAAGGCCCTTGGAGTTCGTATACTTGTCACGCGCCAGACAAGATGGATTACCTATCGATTACGAGAGACATTTAAAAACTTCACATGTGTAACTTTACAATATGATATTTGTTACATAAAGTGATCATCTTCTCCCCTTCGTGGCTTACGTACATTGACATAAAGTGGTCATCTTCTCCCCCTTCGTGGCGTAGAAGTTTGTAACATTCATTGTGAAAAACCCTGGAAATGAATTCTAACCAAAAATGACCTTTCGTATACGTTGGGCTCCGACAAAAGAGCTTCGAAAGGGGAAAGCGCCCGCAAGAGTCGACGCCGGCGTCTGCGGAGGTGCGGGGCGCATGCGCAGCGGCGCCGTGTGGAGAGGCGACCGCCGTGCCCCGTGCTCAGAGGGGCCATTGAGAGCTCACGCACCTGGCGCCCGCGCTGCCACGCCGCGCCGCCCCGCGCTGCCCCGCCGCCGGCGCCTGCCGCCTTATCTCGCGCCGATAGACTTATCGCAGGAATCCACACCACAATTCCACGAAGATCGCGATTCCCAAGAGAGAGGCGCCGGCCCACTGTACGCGCCTTTCTCGCGTCGCTTTTCACCACGCGCGCCCGGAACGTCGGGAAACTTCGTGGAAATAGTGGGCCTTCGGAAAGGGAGCTATCGCGCCACATTGGTTTCTTTCAGTGACGAGATACGATACAACAAATATGAATGGAAAGCTGTTTTAAACACAAATGTATTGCTCTCCCAATACATTTAACTGCAATTTATTTATCGATGATAATTCTGGAGCCTTCCTTTTTATAAGTAGCATATTCAGAATCCTATTTTGATACTCATGCTGCTTTGAAACAAACAGAACTTGTCAAAAGGTCATTCAAATTTTGCATCTCCAAGACATTTCTGCTTATGGTCATTGTACTTGATACTAGTTATGTAGATGCAATGAATATTTTTTTATCATTCACTCCAGAATTTTCATCGCCTTCAGATATAATTTTAATTGCCTACAAGACTTTCAAAGTATTTCTTAACTAAATAAGAATCATTTATCTACACACACATGTTTTAATATTACAAAATAAACCTTAAATACCCTCCTTAGTCAATTAACGACCATAGTCATACCAACCGCACCACCTCATAGCTATTGTTTCAGCCAATTACTAACCATGATACCAAAATTGTGTTCAAAGGAATGCGATCATAGTTTCATAGTTTCACTTCAATGTTGCATCAAAGAGCATTTTGTCCAGTTAATAGCTGATATGTACATCATGATTCTCATATGAACTGTAAATCCTTTTTTCATTAAATTAACAAGCTATAGACTTGACTTTCCAACCAAGTCAATCAATTCCCAGAAAATAGCCTCGATAAGTAAATAATCATGTGAGAAAACAGTAATGTTTTGTAATGTTACTGTTCAGACAAATATTTGCTTACCCCGCTATTTGTCATACGCAGAATCTCTGTAGTATTTTGAAGTTTACGG